ATGCAAAACTGAGAAAATGGGGGCTATAGACTAGCGAGAAATTCGACAGCAAGGCAGGATTAAATTTCGAACGTACCGCACAGGGTCAAGGTCAGTTCAAGCTCATGAAGCAAAGATGTCAACTTAACATGCGGAAGCGCTTTTTCAGTAATGGGATAGTCGATAGCTGGAACCGGCTTCCCCAGGGCAACAGCTTCGAACCCGTGAATCACTTCAAGACTACTGTTCTGTGAAAAAACTGAACCGTTGTTTTAAACACTAGTCGTTATGACAAAGATTAGACACAGTACCGGGCAGGATGAATAACGCGGAAAACGTGAGTTTTCGGCGTTACTAATTTTAGGGAGATCTTGTTTAGTTTCTTCGAAATAATACAAAGTTCATCCTTTTAGTGGATAATCTTACTGAAATTTCATGTTGTGGAAACTTTACGAAAATCAAATTAGAATTTGATTTATATTATATATAAGATATATATAATTTATATCATGATATAAATCACGAAAAGCATAACAATGTGATGAAGAAAGACCTCGAAACCTTGGGTCTCCATTATTTAATTCTTTAGAACTGATGGAAGAAAATTACTGCGATCGCGATCGCAGTATGTGTGTTCTATCGGAAATGTGAAAATCTCTGTAGAGATGTTATAAATTTATGCGTAGTATTTTATATATAATAAGAATAAAACGCAGATGAAAGTGCCAAAACAGTCAGCTTTACGGGTCGTAATGGGATTTATAATCGAAATTTCGATAATAATTGGCTATTGTCCTTTATTGATAAGGTAAGGTTACCTTATTACCCTCGTAACTTATAAATAAATGTTTTGATAGCGCGTCCCCTGGGGGTACCAAAAGTTCTGCATTGGGTCACTCAGCGGTATACTCGTGTAAATTTTAACATTTATTTTGATGTCTTCAGCCGCGACAACGTAAAACAATCTGGTATTTATACAAGCCAATTTTGATAACTACAGTGATAAAACAGACAACAGTCAAGGAAGCGGGGAAGAGGATGGGGTAGGAAATCAGTTCCATGGCAGTCTGATGTCAGACCTAAATACCACCAATTGATATTTTCTTACAGATTACATTTTTTATGAAAATTGAGCATCATATTCATGACGCTATACTACGATAGAGCAGCGTATACAATATTCAATCATTTTTCGCTCCAAATTGATTTTTCTATGAAATGAAGGGGTCGCGTATGCTGAACCATTAGTTCTGCTTTACTTTGTGAGATCGTAAGCTCGTGAATTTACGATTGCATTATTCTGGAGGTTTTCTATTGCTGATAATTGCATACGATACATCCATCGTATGCGCACTCAGGCCAGCTGGTCAGAAACTCGGGCAAACCACCAGGTAAATGGAAACAATCAGGTGGAGACTTTGTTGTCAGATCGATTTGAGGACAGTAGACCCTGATGGTTAGCCCAGTTCACACAGCCGTCCCATTCGAGCCCGTTTGCACCAGCACCGCTCCTGAAAGGACTACCTTCCATTCTATTTTTCATTGCTTACATTTCTCCAATCTCGCGCTTGAGTACTTACGACCAATACTCAACAGGTGAAAGAACGACATTTTATGTATCTAAATTTAATCCCTACCAACGTCATCTTACCGTGCATCATCCTAACCGTCGAATAAAAAATCCACTTACGACGTTTACAACCCCAAAGCCCTATTTCAATATAAGAAGTGATACAAAGCTTGTGCCCTAGGGCACATTGTAATGTGTATTTGACATAAAAATGTATGTTTTATTCACTGACCTTCTGAATCCATCTTTGTATTTGTTCACGTACTTTAACGTGAGTTCCACCCGGAAAGGTATTTTTCATGGTTCAGTCTACATTTATATAATGCGGCGTGCTTACCGACAACCAGCTTCGCAATATAGGTAGATTCCATCCCATATTTTTCGTTAGTACCAATCCAATTAGTGTTGGGACTGACGCACCGATGTACCATGATATCCATGGTGTGTCGGACGTGTTCTGTGGCCTAGGCCACGTATTGCGCATGCTGCTACTTGGCACATCCCACCGAAATTCCATGTTGCTGCTTCAAACTGAATAACATAGATGGACAACATTTGACGTGGAGACGAGGCTTGCTCAGATATACAAAACGATTAGACAGAGCAAGCGTGTTCTAGGTTCGAGTTCAACTAAACTGGTATTTGAATGGGTGAAGAAACTGAGGGACAGTAGAGAGAATCGGCATCGTTTCCCATCAGATAGGAATATATCAAAAATTGTGCATGAAGAAAACCTGTCGCCTGCGTGTTATAAAAAGTAAGGTCCACTCTTTTCTCCCCCCGATCGCTATTAGACTGAATCTATTCCCTTTCACCTTGAGCTGTACCTCGGTCGGTGAAATTAGCCCCATTATATTTTGCTGATCAATGACGATATCGATCAGTGTCAGTGAGGACGATCGGTTGACCTCAGTCTGCGGTCAGGTATTACTATCCTCCAACCCACTTCCAAAACGTGACAGAGCTTAACTACAAAGTTAGTAATCGAACGCGTATAGTTAGAATAGAGTATGCTCTTGTGAAATTCTATCAGCTAAACATCCATGTAGAAAAGCGGAATGAGCTGTTAAGTTTGCTTAGCCGTTATGCGTACATTGTGGTGAAGAATTTGCCAACTATCTTTCGATAACTGGTAGGTCCAACGAGAAAGCAGTGAACGGAAGACCTAAAGGCTCTGGGTAGCATCTAAATATGAGAATGATTTATATTTTGATTTTTTGAAGTGACATAAGCCTTGCATTTCGGTGAACAATCACTCTTTTGAAAAGCAGCAGTGTAGACGCTCAAACGAACAACACCAGTGAATACACTGATAATTAGGATTTTATTAAGCCTGTTGTTTGACCCCATTCAATTTTTGATCCCCATGGACTTCTGTTGATTGCTTAGCGGCAAAGATCTGTATTTATTCAAGTCAATAAATGAGCTTCGTGCACAGAAAGTTAGTGAATTTCCAGATTTTTAAATTAACATTACTACAAATGTCCATATTCCCCAATGCTTCTCACAGTTACTCGCAAGTTGAATACACCATCGAACTATTGTACCAGACCTCTATACTATCATAATCAGCTATGTATTACCTCAGGTGATAATTTTCAAGTGGTAACAATCACATTCACATTACCCGATGGATCGTGCCCCCCAATAACGATGCGACTGTCTACATGTTTTATTTATCTATGACTCATTGCACTACCTTATTTGACCGCTTAACCTGCCTGAAAAACAACTGCGGACATAGATTAAATGCTAGGGATTCAAACAATCCTGATTTGTTTTTCGTTTGAAATATCAATTTTTCATTCCTCAACACCATGTATTTGTTTTATAGCAATATATCCTGTTTCCCGGCGAAGCTGAGGTCATGGTTCAAGGCTTGAGTCTTGTACCCTATGAAGAATATGGATTAGAACGCTGGTACAACTATCATAGTTATATTTCAAAGTTGAATATGCAGGTGAGTTGCGGAAAGTGCATTTAACGTTCCATTTGATTCCACATTATAGGCTGTTAGTTCGGCACAAACAAATTCGGATGAGTTTGTGAAGGAATACTTCATCGCAAACAACAAACTGGTGTTATTGGTCCAGGACCTCGTAGCCCTGGAGTTGTGGCAAAACAGAGTGTTCAAACACTTGATACAGAAACAAGAAGAACCCAGTTCAACGTTCCCGATCTATACAGTGCTGTATCACGAACTTGTTGTTGCCAACCTGTTGGAAACACTAACTTTTCATACAGATGCCATGGAAACACTAAATGACTCGTCTGTAGATCTTGCTGATTGGTGCTATCGAGCACTGTGCTATTTGGTGGCAAACTTCTCCACGGAAGATAGTAAAGAGGACTACCTGAAAGCAAAAGATGAAGTAAGAAAGCATTATTCCATGAAGAGAAATAGCAGAAAGCAAACAGATGAATTGGTCACATTTCCATTAGCAACTCAGGGTTTATTGTTTCGACAACTCCAACTGATTGACTCTGGCGTTCTTCAGGATGCAGTTTTCTCGTCTTACTTTTTCATCACATGCATCGGTGGCTTAACGGTGAATGCACCAGCTAAACTCCCTTGTCCAGCAAACTTTAATCTGCAGAAATTTATTTTCTTTCCCAAGAAGGTTCACGATAGTCGTCACAACTAATTTTAGTTTAGCCTTCACCCTAACACTTCTAAGTGTTATGAATTTTAGCTCTGTTTCTCAAGATCCCACTATGATGATAACTTCCTATTGATTAAGTCTGACCACAATATAAGATCTTTACTTGTAGAGTACCTAGGTGTTATAGTAACCGATTTACGTTAGCCCTCAGGCATTCAGGGGTACATTGAAGAACTTAAACCGTCCTTTCAAATATGTAGACACAACTAGTTTGTATATTTAATTAATTTATGTGAAGGACCCAAGAGATTACCGGTTATCCATGCCTGACGAGTGGCGGGAAGTATAAAACCGGCTGTAACTTAAGTGGAACTTTGCTCAGTCATTCAGACTATTTACTATCCGGAAAAAATACAATCATTGTAAAACTGAACACGAGTTTGTTCAACGCTGCAGTGCAAATCTATGGTTGAACTATTCATTGTATCATTGTTTGCTCAGACAGTCTGAACACTGACGTGGTATATATATAGATATATATAACACGTGTGAATTTAGAATCTTTGTCAGACAAATCGCGGTGAAATAATCCGTATAACACAGAAGAAGGCGCACGATTTGCTGGTGAATGAGATGCTTCCGGGTTACTCAGGTTAAAAGAGGTGAATTTCCTTAGGTGATATGTGAAGACCATAATCTATTGAGCGATGGTGTCCAGTTTATCGAATTATACGTCCTTTGGACAGGTTCAAACGTCCGATACGCTCAATCAGTTTGAAGCTCAACTAATCAACATTATTTTGCTTTTACTTGAGGGCTCCTTAACCAATTTTCATACGAAGGACTTTCAGAAGGTATGCTGAGTTTAAAAGCCATAGGTGGAGTCTCTCTTATTCCCGTTGTTCTGATTGTCAAACTGTTATGTGGTCATCTCATTGAGGTTAGTGACAAGTATGCTAGCACGAGTGTCATCGACACCACAATCCACCACTGCCCAATTGATCGACTCGTTACTGACACACGATCCCAATATTGACTAATTTTCTTCGCCATGAACTTCTGCCGTGAGTCCTCAGTACCATTTAAGCTCATAAACAGTTTGACAAGGAAGTCGTGAATGGGTCTTGAAAGACCCTCTGTAGCTAAAAATCAGAATTGCTGTTGTTCTCCTTTTCCAATGATTTGTTTTTGCTTTAATTATTCGCATCTAAAACGTTTTTACTAAAATGCACGTTTCATTCGACTTGAATAAATCTAAATGTAAGTACAACTGCAGATTAGATAGCTGATGTTCTGTCACGCGGTTAGTAGGGCGAAACAAAGATGAGGTTAACCTCAACCACAAAGGAGTGCGCTAGGGTTTAAACCATTGCAGGCAAATAACATCGGCAGGAAAGGCCCGGAGTGAATGTCCTATTGAGATTGAACGATTTTCGTGATGCATTCAAAAATACATTCAGACTCAACGATGTGGAAAAAAAGAATACAGGAAATTCGACCTGGTTGACTTGAAATTTCCGAGCACCGTGTTTCCATAACCACAACTGAGTGAAAGTCAGAAACATGAATATATCGCGCTTGGAAGTCCTCACACACTACCAGATAAATAACAGTTGAGTACTTGGTTACAGTATTGCACGAGAGCTGACTGATACGTGATTGGAGCAAAATGCTTTAGTCACATGACTGACACAGTGGTCTCCCCTATGGCCGTTACTGATTAACTTCAGTTTGGTTCGTTCACAGTACTTGACAATCAAGAGTGACAAAAAACACTGCTACTCTTGTTCCTGACTGCGGCATTAAAGTTGACTATTTAAAAACAAGTTGGAATACTTTCTCAAGTAAACAGTCATCGCAAAGCCGGTTTAACGATGAACGGAAGGTGGATCTGTGATGAGTCAACTCTACCAATTGACGCCAGCCAAAAGCCTACGCGTTCCAGTTTCCGGGCATCGCATCACAGGCCAAAAGTATTGGCAAATGGTCATGTAGTTCAAACAGAAGTTGTGTGACCCGGGGAACGAGAACGATGACTGTTTGGTGTTAGTTGGCCTAATGATATCTTTATTCACCTATTATTTAACCTCCGTTAATCTATTTCAACAAATAAACAGCTACTTCTGTGATCTTACATTTCAGCGACGAGAGATTCTAGTCTACAACTGTCAGTGTGATTCCTCGTGTCATTTGCGACTGTGATTCATCCATATTCCGACTACTACAGAATCTGTGATTGCAAAGACAGATTCCAAGGAGGGATTTAGTCCGACAACGAATTTTTGAGAATCGTAATGATAGAGCGCTCAATTTCATTTCTATCCGCTGCCTTGGTATCTCAGTCGGAGAGAGTTTGAGTGTAACCAGTAGATATGACGACCCGGCTAGAGATGAACTACAGCATTTTTGCTTATTTAAAATTAGTACTATTTTTGATAGGTAATGTGGTGCAAAATATATTATGGAATCTTCTTGTTTTTTTTAATGACAATTGTTTATATTATTCCTCTTCATGAACCGGATACATGCTGAAACGAAAATAAAAGATCGAAGCGGACAGTAATCTAAAGGACCTACAACGACAACAGAGAGTGATTTCGTTTGACAAGGGATTGAAAGCCATATCAATTGTGCGGCATCTGATTGATCACAGCNACGTCTTTTACAGACAAACGACATCATATTATTGCTTTGTCAGTTAATCGAACAAACCCCCTGGAGCGCAAACGGTAAAAACAAGGAAACTGGAAAAGAATGCCGAATGATGTGGCATGAGAGTGGAGTTTGGATTCCGGCTGAACAACTTAAAACTCCAATTGGAAAGGCAGAAGGTCAAGTAAATGAAACTTTTGGTTTTTATATCTTTTCTGGATACCAGCACTAACAAATCCGAATATATATAATTATTACTGGAGTTAAACTGCAATGAATTAGAGGGAAGCCGGCGAATAAAACAGAACTTTGA